CTCGAAGCATAGATGGGTGATCAATCCTCCCATACTCGTGTAGCATCAGTGGGGTATCCCTAAAAGGTAATTTCTTGACAATCTAGGCAATACTAAGCACAATGCATATAGTATCATACAATAAAATCATACGCATGGATTGTATCAAAAGCATTCTTACTATAAACATCAATGACCATCATAAGCATCGAGAGCAAAAAAGCACCAATGATCATCATAGGGATCAAAATCTTCATAGACAAACACAAGCATGAGATGAAATCGTGGCATTCATTCACATAACAGTAAACAAGATCACATCCTAACACAATCAATTTCAACTAGCTACATAGAGGAGAAGGAAGGAGCCACCATTGACGATGACAACATCTCCTTGACCGCAGACCCCTCTACTTCGACTAGACTATGCACTCGTGTAGAGTATTACAGAGATTTGTGTGTTTGTGTAGTCTTATATTACAATGGAGTAATTTTGTCTATTTATAGGGGAGAATTCGACCTAAAATAACCTAAACCGACTAGGGAAGAGTCTCCTAAACTAGTAGACTTAGGAAATTTCGTCAACAAGAAAAAGGTAAGGCGGCAGCAGTACGCTAGTTGGGCCCGCCGTCCTGGTTCTTCGTGATTTAAGTTATCCATGGACTTTAATTCCAAATGGTTTTGATTGCAACTTTGGGCAGCGTCCGTTGGACTTGTTACTTGGGTCGCCACTCTTTTTTGCTTCACAATGGGCTGATTCTTCCTCCTATGGGCTCGTCTTGACATAGTCTAACAACTTCTAGTTGACTTCTCCTTCATTGGACCACTCTTCATTCGTGATAGCTTCATAAACTTCTCTTGATAGCTCATTTGGTCCTCCACATTTCTACAATGCTTGATCCAATCTTTCTTAGGTTGTTTTATACCTTCGAAATCATCAATAATATGTCGAGAAGGCATCAAATAGTAAAAGAACATTGCCTAAGTCTATTAAAAGCTCATTGATCAAAAGTAGTGATTTAGACAAGAAATTTAAATGAAATAATTAAAGATGCTTCCATAGAAGGGGAAAATGTATCAAATATGGGGATGACAAACACTATAAATAAAGTGTCATTAACATCCTAGGTCGTCGACCAAAACCTAAAATGACACTAAAAGCGCCATTTTACAGAAGGTGAAGATCAATTCGATCTGTTAGGATATTATTTCTTGGCGGCAAAGCTAGAGATACGATGATATGTGAGCATAAGATTTTCCCTCATTGGAATCTCTCAGATCAACTATGTGAAGATCAACATCTGAAGACAACTCTTAACAGGGCGTTACTCTGCCGACAAAGCAACTCATCACAAACTAGAAGCGACCAGTAGCACGAGGATCAGAATAGCATCGTAGGAACCATTTCCCTTGTAAGTTGTAAGACTGCCATTTATCATAATTAAGGTATCTCGTCTTCTAAACAAATATGTATATTAGATTTTGTCCCTCTAAGAGGGTGTGTATGCAGGCGAAGCCTATAGGTTCATTAGACCATGTAATAATTTACTCTTGTGTTATATATATATATATATATATATATATATATATATTATAGTTTACCTTTCTAGATTTGTTGCACTTAGAATATCATCGTATCAATGTTTGTATTGGATGGATTATAATAAGAAATCCCTTATGATTGTTGCATATCAAATGCAATATACATCTGCCAGCAACTGTGACAAGAATATATGATTTGTTGGCTAGACCGCGTGTCTTCCTAATCCATCTCCAAAGAATACATCCAAGGTAGACGATAGGGCAGAGAAGCATAGTGAGTGGAGGAATCCTTGTGAATTTCCTCAATCTCGTATGTTTAAGTCGCCTATCGTTCTAAACCGTGTTTAAGAAAACTTTAGGAGGAGCTTGTCTATGTAATGCCTTCCTTTACTTCTTTCCCACGTCTACTTTGGCTTTTGTTTTGTTTTCGGCACCTTTAAATTTGAAAAGCAAATCGAGGAGAACCTCACCCCCAAATCCAGTTTCAATCAAAGAACGAAATCCCTACTAACTAAGTAGTTGAATTTAAAAGGCCCTAAGGAAATACGATCATGGAACCTACCAAGTAAATTGACCTCTGTTCTACATCAGATCCAATTTTGGCACCGTTGTTGGGGACTCTCACGATCTTTTGGAAATTTTTATTGTTTTGTTTGCTTTGTTTAAAGTCTCTTTATTTTTAGTCATTTTTTTGTTTATGTTCGCTTCTGTTTTTGTATTTTGTATGTTTGAATAGCCTGTAGTCAGAGTCTAAGCTAAATTTCAGGCGGTGCAAAATTGGCAGTTCTGGCACAATTTTGAAGGGAGCTTATTGCATGAAAATAGCGAAAGAGGTGCCTCATGACATGTCAATTTTACTATTTTTAACCCCTATTTAATGACATATTTTTTTATTGTTTTTGTATCTTTATTTCCATAACAGAATGGAATTGCTTGATAATTGCTCCTCCAAGGTGTGTGTAGTAGCTCGTATGACTACTTTTACTATTTTTATTTCCTTTTGGGTAGTTTTTCATGTGTTTTGAGGCCCAAGTATCACAGTGGAGCACCGTGTACGAGTGAGATACTTCAAGGCTTAACTATTGGAAGTATAAAACGAAAATTAGAGCTCAAGTCCAAAATTACACCGAAATTAGTCGACCAAATTCCAAAATGGCCCCTCGGGTGCCATTTCTCTGAGGACCCAGATCAAACCAAAATGGCAACTTGTAGTTGACTTCCCTGTTATTGAAGCTCTTCTTTTCGTGAAAGATACTTTATCTTTTATTTATTGCTCATTTGGTCCTCTAAAGTTCTTCAATGCGTGATTCGTTGCTTTGTACTTTCAAAACAATCATAAATTTACCAACAAGGCATCAAATAGTACAATAACACATCCTAGGTTTCTATTGAAAGCTCATCGATCAAATAGTTGTGATTTAGACAAGGAATATCATTGAGATGACTAAATATGCATTTATAGAGGGGGAAAAAGAATGATGATGGATTTCTTCTTAGTGCCGTGATTGACCGAGGATTGGAGGGCCTGGCTAACTGTGACGGTCAAAGTGGCCATATCCGGAGTTGAGCTTCCAGGTTGAGAGCAGAAAGTAGAGCTGATTGGGGAGTAATAGCACAGGAGCGCAATGGGCTCGTCGTAATAGAGGAAATCGGAGTTGTAGAGGAAGGAATGAGACTGCAGAACTTGAGAGTCGGAGGTTGGAGGAGCATACTCGCAAAGATCTCTTTTGAGGTAGACGACTTTAGCCGTCGGAGAGAGAGAAGTAGAGGAGGATGAGAAACACGCTCCCATTTGGCGGCAGCAAGAATTGATTCACAATTGGGTTAAATTTTGGTAGAATAAACAAATAAGGACTTGAGGAAAGGGGGAGGTCGAGTGCGGAGGGTAAGGATGAGATTTAATATAAATATAAGGGACATAGGGGTCGTTTGGAAGTTGCGATTGTTAAATAGATGTATTGTTGAGAATGCATGTATAATATTATACATGTATTGTCGAATTTGATGCATTGTAGAATACAACGTTTGGTATGTGTGATTGTGTATGTCGCATCAGCTAAAAGCTGAGACAAAACAATCTCAACTCAACTCAACTATCTCAACAATCACAACGAAAAGTTGAGATATAACAATCACTCAAAATGAGTGATAGTTTCTGTCACATCAAAGAAACAATACATGTATTGTTTCTGCTAAAAAAATAAAAAAACGATGCATTGTAAACAATACATGCATAATGACAATCTCAACAAAACTATCGCAACTTCCAAACGACCCGATAGATGAGGGGGGGAAAATATGAGTGGGGGATTTGGAAATAGTTGATCCCAATTAGCTATTTCAAAAACCTACATTTGAGAGATTTTGAAATTCCTTATTGCCATAATCTATCACCTTCCATATTTCAAAATCCGGCATAATGGGGGATTGTTTTAAAATAACTCACTACGATCTTGTTTCCAAACGACCCTCTAGAGTTAAAAACCTTTTTAAGTATTTCTTCGGAGGATAAATTCTACCCTCGCTAACCACGAATACGCCACATGATAGTTGGTTAACTCGTCTTTTAACCATAACGTTTTTTTTTTTTTTTGTCAAAAGATATCATATATTAATCCAAACAAATAGATAGTTACATCCTGAAAACCAGCCAGACCCGGAAATCAAAGAAGCGACCTACAGTCGGATACAAAGAGAGGGCTTTTCTAGCTACCGAGTGAGCTACCATATTGTTCTCCTGACCTATAAATCGCACACTAAACCCAAGATGGGCGCGAAAATAAAGACCTATCTCCTCCAAAACAGCCTCCAACCGGTTATCCACTGTGTCAGCTTGATTAATTTTATCAATAATCACTTTGGCATCGCCCTCAAACTGGACCGCCGACAAGCCACACTCCAAACACCAAATAATAGCCTCCAGAAGCACCAGCAATTCCACCACTGTAGGCTCGTCAATCTGAGGAAACTGAACCCCCTTTGCCAAAAGGAGCGTCCTCCCCGGATCAAGAAGGATCATCCCACCAGCCGAATACGACCCACTCCTAGTGGCCCCATCCCACATGCAAACCAATCTAGAATCACCCACTTGAATTCCAGGCTGCGCCACAATAAAAATCTTTTAACCATAACGTTAGATGTTTAGTAATTCAACTTATTCATTACCAACTATTTATCGCTTCTTATGACAATTCATAACAAGTGGATTACAACATGTCTTTATTGAACTAATTCAATACTATAACCATGAAGAAGATATGTTGTGGTTGTTAGTTACCTCATGAATAGGTTACCAACTTACAAGTGGATGATGGTTGCTCATGAAAATAGAGTTCGCTTTTGTAATAATAGACCGTTTACTTTTTAGTACAATCACCATCGACATGTGTAAGAGAGAGAGAGACATTGCTGTCAGCAATCAGCAGCGCACCCCATAGCAAGTAATATAAAGAAAACCTGTGGAGGAAGGCACTGGCTGGCTCGATAGGAAAAGCCTTGACTGATGACTTATGAGTTATGAGAATGAAGGGTTGAGTGAATTTTCCATCAAAATTAGTGCAAACCGAAGAGGAAGGAATATTTGTCAAAAATGCAAAAATAAGGGATGGGACAAAATTACAACATAGCCAATACCAACTTCCCGTCGTTTCTTTCCTCTCTCTCTAAAGCCACAAATGCACAATACACAGAGAATAGAGCTAATTTACAAAATGTTGGCACAAAAGCGCGGCCGTCGCATTGTTGCCATGTTTGTCTGATGAGATATATTACCATTAACCCATTTTTGTACAATTTTGTACCCTTTGCGGAGTCCCTTCCTTCCTTACATCCTTTTCTTGTTCCTTCTTCTCGTCTCTTCTTTACTGAAAGGGAGTGGTGATGCTGGCGGAAGTGCGTTCAGTTGGCGAGCCAGGGACGAAAGGGACGAACCCCCGGCCACCGAAGACAGGCCTCATGAAGGCGTTGTCGAACTTGCGCCAGTAGTAATGGACGGTGTGGGTTGGGGTGGTGAGCAGGGCTCGCAGTCTGTTCCCGCCGTTGAGGTGCTGTTGCGCGAGATCTTCCAGTGAGTCCTGCCCCTCCCCCAGGAGGGGCACTGTGATCGATTTCGGGGAGCCAGCATGGGAAGATACCGCTGTGCTCGACTGGCTCTTCCCGTCGGGGAGCAGGAACCTTATGAGAGGTTGAGTCATCAAACCGAAGACCTGAGGAAACATCAATGTTTAGCAATTACTACGGAAATTTAAGTAGAAGCAGCAATCCTACATCCGAACGACACCTGAAGTTACTATGGCCTATTGTTCGAAGTTGCTTACTACAACCGAATAAGGAGAACTTACCACTGTGCTGAAAAGAACAACAATGATGGTGCTGGTGATCAAGATAGCATTCCCTCGCAAGTGAGTGTGCCCCCCACTGGTAAACTGCAATGGCAATGAAGCAGATAGCTCGCAAATTGATCAGGAAATACTGAATGTTCAACAACGAAAAAAGAAGCAAGTATTTCTTCCACGATCTTACCTTGTTATAAGCGAGTGCCATAGATACAGCACCTCTCATCAAGCCAGCCCACCATATGACAATCTAAATCAAATATCCAAAAGTGTAAAGCAAATGTCAGAATACGGCTTACAATAAAAATCAAGTTATTCAAGAGGAGTTGGGGCAGACAGGATCGTACTTGCTGCTTGATATCGATCTTATCATTCGGTGATTTCTTAGATAAGTTCGATAAAAAGGACAAGGGGAAGACAAAAGCTGCTCTTCCCAGAAGGACCAGGGCTAATAATACTGAACTCACAGTCACTATTGTTCCGGGGCTGCACAAGAGATGAAACATAGTTGCAAGAGCTTCAGAATCTAAATTATCATTCCAATGAAAGGATGAAAAAGGTTCGATTGATCGACTTTATCAAAAGAGTAAATCGTAATTATGGACAAACCTGTCACTCACGGCGCTCCACTTCTCAATGTCCAAGGCATCCATACCGACGTAGAGGAAAATAAATATCTCAGAAACAAATGACAAGGTTGCAAATGCATGCCTGGGGAGAAAGTGATCGGTTTCAGAAATAAATTATAAGGCAAGATAGTAATAAGAGTGATCAGATTCATCGATATAGAGTCACATACTTTGTCGTTACTCTCGAGCTCTCAGTCACGTTGTGCCATGTATAATGGGACATGACAATTCCACAGAAAAATACTGTGAGAATCCCACTCAAATAGAACAACTGCGAGAGAAGTCAATGAATTAAGTACCATATCTTGGAGATCATACGTGAAAATAAAAGTGATACACAAGAATATTTGGAAACAATCGTACCTCAGCAAGCATGTACGAAAGATATGCCATAAGGATCATGAGAGAAACCTCCCTATCCGTTGAATGCCTGAATAATTTCCAGTATTAAGTTAGTGGGAAGATTCTTACAACTGGCAATACACGCCTATCTGAATTTTGTTGACCATTACATACCTTCCAAAGTAGAGGGTTTTTATGATGTAAGCACTGACCAATCCAGTCTGCAACAAATACAAAATGGATTGGATTTCAATCTCAACAATGTTGTCCAACAAGAAACAGAATTGAACTGTCTATGAAACAACAAGAGAGAGAAAGAGAGAGAGAGAGAGAGAGAGTTACCCCAACTCCCAGCAAAGTACTTGTAACAAACAAATACAAAAAGTTGCCAATGAACTCCAAACCAATGTGTGGATTAAGATTGACAAGATCAAAGCCCTGAATTGCATTGAAAAGCACCACTGACGTAGCGTCATTTACGACACCTTCCCCAAATACAAGACTGTAGAGTAGAGGCGTCTGATCCTGATTAAGAATCTGTACAATTAAGAAGAAAAAGGTTCAGTTTTCCAGTGAAAACAATTCTTGAATCTTTACGATAGAGAAGCAAAAGGTTCAGTTTTCCAGTGAAAACAGTTCTTAGTAGAAGTCGGGAAGGCTGCAAATGCTCCTGCATGTGACATACCTGCAACGTGCATACGGAATCTGTTGCTGCAAATATTGCTCCAATTGCTATGTAGTCCCCCACGTCAAATTCACCAATGTCCATTCTACCAAAGAACTGAATGGCCCCTGTAAAATAGCATCAGCAACCAAGTCAGACATTGTTCATTTTACGTTAAATATCTTTTCCAGGGTCAACATCCACAAGTTGCAAAAACAGTTCCCCTATCATCCTTCTCTTTCACACTGCCAACTTAAGAAATTGGTCCAGAACTAGACATGACAGTATGACCACGATCTACTACCAGGACCATGCCACAAGTGAAAAAGACACCAAATTTGCAAAAGGAGACATTTCAACTTCTCCAAAGAAAATTGAACCCTGAATCAATCTAGGTACTTCAAATAAGAAAAGCATTGCAGATATTAGTTATTTACCTAAGGATATAACGCAGCAAGATATCAATGTACCGATAGCACCAAATAACATGATGGTGATGAAGTTCCGGAAGAATTGCTTCTTTTTCACCTGGAACCTGGAACACAAAATGGAAAGACCAGACGTTAAACACACACAAAAGAGCCTCTCTAGCAGTAACCCTCATGAACCAGTGATGAACTATGAACTCTGCAAATCGAAGTTCCCTACCCGGCATTGAATATGATAGGCGGCAGAAGATAGATAAAGAAAAGATCCTCACTGAACACCAAAAGATGCGAGCTTTTCCCTCCACTAACCAGCAATATCACAACCCCAGTGCACACACCCTATAGTAGCAATGGGCCACACAAGATCAGTAAACGGCTATTGTTGCAGCGAAGCCACACACAACAACAAAAAAGCACTTTGAATTACTACCAAAACTGGATCCCATCAGTTTTTTTTTTTCCACCTGAATCCCCAGATCCCTTTTAAGCAAATGGGGACGAAACCCAAAAAAGGAAAGAAATGAAACTCACAATCAAAAGGGCAGTAATGGACTCATTCATCCATCGATTCTCCTCCAGAAGATGACCAATGACTATACAAGCACAAAGCAGGGCGACGAACAAGTTCATGGAGACCACGGATGCGTGGTCCGATGTGGAAAGCCCCTGCAGCTTCGTCGTAATTGAGCTTACGACCTCCATTTTTTGTACTCCTGATTCCTTTCCCGGTTCAATTCTCCTCCTCCCCTCTTTCTTAATCGAAAATGGCAACGGTATAAATATACAGAAACCAAATTGTGATGGCCGCAGAATTGATTTCACACAACACAATGTGTAGTGGGAATAAATTCTGATTCCTTATTGAGACAGGAGAGAAAATTTTCAAACGGAATTCCCTAATTTTTCTTCAAGTCTCTGAACCGTCCATTCCCTCCCCTGCTGTAACAACAAAACAAAAAACAAAAAAACAAAAAACAAAAAGAGAGAAGCACTGTGAGAAAATAAAAATTCTTAGGTTTGGTTGCTCGGAAAATTAGTCTTCCTCCTCCTCCCCCCCAAACCTCTCAGCTCACCTTTTGTATCTCAATTCACAGAGGACGCCGCGAACTGCTACAGGCAAGTCGAAGAAGAGAGGATTCTGCTGGTGAAGAAGGCCGGCGAACGGAGCTACGAGCTAGCAGGGAAGGAGATTCCGGCGAGCAAATTCGAGGGGGGGAAACTTGCTTTTCTCGGGAGGGAAAAGAAAGGCTCTGGAAATGGAGAAGAAAGCTCTGGAAGAGAAAGGAAAGGGGTAAATAGTTTTTGAAAGAATGAGCGGACGATGCGGGGGATAACGGAATTAAATAAACGGAAGGAAGAGATGCGACGGATCCAGAGATTGACGGAGGAGGGAAGCTGACGGCGTGATAAGGGGGTTCTGGCTTTGTTCTCAACCGGACGATTGGGTGATATGAGATTTGACCGTGAGGGTTTACGGTGGTACTGGCCGCAGGGGATTAAATGGGAGGGGTGGGATATTTTGCCGGGAAAAATAGTTAAGAGCTGTGCGGAGACAGTTACTCACCGGCACGTCTCTCTGTATTTCCCTCTCTCCCCGATTATTCCCCTACAAAAACCTCTTTTTTTAATTGATTAATTAACGGATTACTTGTCTAATTGTAATTTGTTTCTTTCTCTCTGCCGACTAATTCGATTTTATTTGGCGTACGCAAGTAATTTACCTCTTCAATCATTTTTATTCGTTAATTTTTCTGCAAAATATTCATGGATAATGATAGCGTAGTCCATTTCTACCAAGTTTTTTTTCTTGGCATTATTTGATGATTATTATTATAGGTGGGATTGATTAATTAGTTCCAAATTTTGTTTTGTATTAGTCCGTCCTCCCTGCTATCATAAGACGTGGGGTTTCATTTCCCGTCAAGGAATAAAATGATGATGTTTTAGATGAAAATTTACGAAATTTAGAATAGTCGAATCTGAATTTCAAACCTTACTCTATACTCTACCAAAAAAAAAAAAAAAGAGTAGACTATTCTATATTATTAGGCAGGAAATGAAAAGGACATAAGATATGTTGTAATAATAATGGGTCTGATGGGAAAACACGAAGAACCATCTACAGCCAACTAGATTAGGGTCCGATTTGTTGGCCGGCATAATTTAATACTCGTGTATAATTTAGAGTTCAAAAATTGTTTTACGTGCTCGATTAATTGTACCCATCAGCTTAACAGTGTCCAAACATTGTGCTCAAGTCTTAAGCCGCGATTTAATCGTTGAGAATGTTGGACCATATTGTAAACTAGAATTAGTTTAAGGACCATGTGTAATATTTGTTTATATTTGTGAACTGTTTTGCTAGTTTATTATTTCCAGGTTGTATATATTGTAATAACGAACGGTGTAAATTCACCTTTTATGAAATAAAACAAGTAGACACTTTCTCTCTCATCATGGTATCAGAGCCTGGTTTGGCCAAGTGATCGTGTGTTCGAATCTCCATGACCTCCAATATTAACAGTTGATTAAAGCACAAGGTATGGTGGGCATGTGCAAACTTCAAGCCCATGACCTCCAATCTAGGCGTTTCTTGCCTTTCTCTCTTTTTCTTTTCTTTCTTTGATTCGCTTCTGCATCTCTCTTCGTTTCCATGGCGACTCCCACTGCGTTTCAACCGTCGATGCCGATCTCGGCGACGCTTGCACCAAACCACCCGTACTACATCAGTTCCGGCGATTCATCAACGGCGCAGCTCGTTTTTGTCGTTCTCACCGGGCCGAATTACCATTCTTGGGCTAGATCCATGCGATTTGGTCTCCTGTCGAAGAACAAGATATTGTTCGTCAATCCGGCTGTCCTGACGCCTCCATATGGCGATCCGCTCTTCCAAGCTTGGCAGTAGTGTGATACGTGCGTGCTTGGTTGGATCCTCCGGTCGCTCTCACCGGAGATTGCACAGAGCGTTCTTTGGCTGAACACTGCGGTTGAAGTTTGGCATGATCTCCAGGAGCGCTTCAACATTGCTGATCTGGTTCGCATCGCTGATCTCCATGATGAGATCTACGGACTGAAGCAAGCAAATATGTTTGTAAGTGCGTTCTTCACCAAATTTAGGGTTCTATGGGATGAATTGACAACCTATCGTCATGTTCGTTCTTGTGCATGTATCCCTAGATGTTCTTGTGCTGAATACATGAGAGTATACATGTTATTAGGTTCTTGAGAGGTCTGAATGAGGATATTGAGTCTGTTAGATGTTTGATACTGTTAATGGATCCTCTGCCTCCCATTAACAAGGTCTTCTCTATGATAGCCCAGCATGAGCGTCAAATTAGGACTCCCAACCCTAATTTTGTCAATCATATGCCCTGTGTTGTACAATCTTGTCAAAATAAGGGGAATAACCAGTTAAAAAGGCATGTCTGTACTTTTTGTGGATTAACTGGGCATACTATTGATTGATGTTACAAGAAGCATGGTTATCCACCAGGTTATAAGCCACGTTCTAGAGTCAATGTTGTAGTTAGTGAGTCTTTCGACACTAACAGTTCTGGTTCAAGTGAGAACGGAAGTGTTCCTTCCGATTCTGTTGTATTGACACAGCAACAGTACCGAGCTTTGTTTGCTCAATGTCACCCCCAAGCTCTTCCACCTCCAACCCCTACTGTTAACTTTGTCACTACTGGATTTTCTGGTGTTTGTGTCGAGAAGTCTTATCCAATGCACTCCCCATTCCTGGCTTCTTCATCTACTGCTACCTCAAGCCAGGATGGAGGTAAGTTTGCTTTTGCCAATTCAATGGTTGACAATGCTTCTAAGTGGATTTTAGACAGTGGTGCTTCTCATCATGTTGTGTTTGATATTGTTTATCTACTTTCACCTACTGCTGTATGTGATATGTTTGTGTCTTTACCAAATAGCTCTCGAGTGTGTGTTACTCATATAGGGTCAGTTAGGATAAATGAACTGTAATTCTTAAGAAAGTCTTGTTAATACCTTGATATGATCCCAAATTGGTCCTTAATTAAGCTGGAATTGATTGATCAAGAAGGTAAGCAAAGTACATTAAAGAACACTGAATTTTGGCTAAGTTCTTTTATAGTTTCAGGTATCCAACTTTGCACGTAGGGAACTTGTTATTGGCTTAATGAAAATTCGAGTTTAAGGCATTGTTTTGAAGATGAAGAGTTTATCTTCCCATTGATGTTCTTTGGAGCTCGAGAGGAAGCCCAGAAGAGATATTTCCAGGTCTATCAAGTTGTTAGCTCAACATGGGAAAAACTGCCGAAATATTCTAAGTGTTAAGGAACTTTGGAAGCCTCAATCGAAGGGATGGATGAGAGTCGAGCTTCAAGAATCATACCTCATGAAAGTAGGTTTCTTCTACTACAACGACATGGTGTTGGATGATTGGAATGAAGAATGGAAGGCCTCGAACGAAAGCTCCAAAGATCGTAACGAAGCTGAGTTTCTGTCTTTGGAAACCAGGCAATCCGAATCTTTATCTGATTAGGATTCCTTTGTTTTTTTGTGATTAATTCCTTTTCATTGTTGGTTTTGATTTCCTTTTCCAATTGTAATTTGTTTAGGACTTCTCTATGAGTAGTAGGATTGGCTAGGTCTATTTAAGTAGCTTTGATTAGTTGTAATTTTCAGATTTCGTAGAGTTGAATAACAAACTGAGAGTTTGCGTTCATAAGATTTTGTCTTATGAATTGAGAGATCAACCTAGCCGAATCTAGGTCTGATCTTGAGCTTGTATCGTTCAAGTACTCACCTTGTTCGTGGCCAAGCATCCAAGACACCAATCGAGCCTCTTTCCCATCGTAAAAGTTGCACGAAAGGTTCCATCCCAAACACGAGCACAAGACCTTGTTTTGTGTTCTTTCTCACCCAGTTTTGATTCAATCTTGAATTGAATCCTAGTTGTGCTTCTCTGATCCAAAACCACCCATCTAGGGGGCTATCAAATGGCATCAGGAGCCTGGTTCAACACAGTGGCTAGAACGGAGGACAACGCCACTGCAACGACGCCCTGGACGAGGTCGAAAGGGCCTGATTTTGAAGACTCATATGTGTTTCCAGAACCAATGAGGAAAAAGAAGTAGACAGCCATGTCAGGACATACATTCGACATGGACGCCCTACTTGATCGTATGGAGGAGAGGTTCTAGACCCAAATCCAGGATCAATTGGGTCAATTTAAGCACGAAATTGACCAGAAGTTTGAGGCTCTGACTCTACCGGAGAATGGAGTCCGAGCAGGGGAAGTTCTCGGCCACGAAAACCCAGTTGGCAATCCAAAGTTGATGAATCGAATTGCTGAGCTGGAATGACGTCTGGTTGTTGCGGAACCACATCACGAACGTCTGCATCGCGATCGGCGTGAACGGCAACAGGACGCTGAGTCGGCAGTGCCGCCGGGAATCAAGTTGTCTGTACCGTCGTTTCAGGGGACGATGAACCCTTCATCGTACCTCGACTGGGAAAGGAAAATTACTCTTTTCTTTCAGTGAGGCCAATTTAGCGAGGTCCAGAAAGTAGCAATGGCTACTTGTGAATTTTCGGATTACGCTGCACAATGGTGGGAGCAGCTGCAGCTTCGTCGACGATGAGATAATCAGAATCCGGTCGCGACGTTGGACGAGCTGCGAAGGATTATGCGAGACCGATTCATAACTGCTTACTACCAGCGTGAGCTCTACGAGTCTCTGCAAGGGCTTCGACAGGGTTCAGGGGACGTGGAGGAGTATTTCAGAGAGCTCGAGTTGCTGATGATGCGTGTCGACGTTAGAGAAGACCGGGAAGCAACGGTGGCATGTTTTCTTCATGAAACAAATAATAATTGAGAAGACAAAAAACTCTTCATACTTTCACTCTATTTGCAAGAAATTTGAAATAGAGAAAACTAAACCCTTCAAAATATTTTATAACTAGTCCATATTGATAGTCACTCTATTTGCAAGAAATTTGAAATAGAGAAAACTAAACCCTTCAAAATATTTTATAACTAGTCCATATTGATAGAAATAGACTGGTGTTACTATTAACGCCAGATTATTTTTACTAATATTAAGAATTTAAAATCGTGATTAATTTATAATCATTTACAGGTTTTACCCATGAAGTGAAAAGATCACAAATAAGAGGCAATGTATTAAACACGTTTGAAACATGATAGTATCAATCTTACTATAATAATTAACATAACTATGAAGTTTATCTTGTAAATGTTGCAATTAATATCATCCAATAAGTTTACCTTACTGAACAGCTTGATCCACCCAGGGCTTAGTAGGTGTGCCCTATGACCCAATTGAGCTGAATAGAACCT